CAGGAAAAAAAAAAAAAAAAAAACCACGAGAAAAGAAATGCTCTCAGGGATCCCTCTGTGTGTCTGCGCAAGCTGAGTGTGTAGGTCCCAAGCCACGTAGCACTGCCTGGCCAGAACGGGCTCCCAACTTGAGAAAAGAGAAAGAAAACAAACAATTCAACATAAACAAACAAAAAAGCCCCGGGATCCCACCAGCGTGGCCATGGAGACCGGGATGCAGTTTCGTACTCAAACGGAGCTACGCCGCCCCTTAGGAAGAAGCAAAGATGGTGCCTGGAGCCAGGTATTTGAGCAAAAGGAAGGGAAGGTGGTGAGAGGTAAAGAAGAAATCAAAAGAAGCGGAAAAAAGCATCACCAGCAGCCAACAAATGGCACTCAGGGAGTCGGCCATTGTGGGCGGGTAGGTAGAATCCAAGCAGCCAGTGCTTCCGGCCAAGAGACTGTGGCTGCGGGAAGCAGAGGAGGCCGAGTGGGGGTGAAGAAGGGTGGGGGGTGGGAAAGCGTTTATCACCAGTTACTGGTTGTTCTGTCTCTTGCTGGAAGCTCCGTGAAGCTGCTTTCTCATACCCCCTATTTGCTGGTCTCTGATAGGAGTCCAAGATGGTGGATCCGCACTGCATTAGCTGATAGGGGACCTCTGCATGAATCTCTCCTCGCTCTCCGTTCTCTGTCAGTTTCTCACTCCATTTGGTGCTTGGCTGAGTTCTTTCTCTCTTCATTTGATGTTTTAGGGTCTTAGGATTGTTGTTTTCTCTGTTTGGCTTAGTTTTTCGGATCTTTTCTGTGGAGGGACGGTGTGGTGCTTCTGCTTAGAGCGTCATGTTGCCGGAAGTCCCGAGCTTATCTGTTGTTTAATGGAAAGGTGATCTCGGAGTGGTTTCAGTTCCAGGTTTAAAGAGTGTCTCAGGGTGACAGCCTTGGGAATTCCTCTGGTCTCTACTGATCCAGTAAGTCTGGCCTTTGTTAATAATTTTCTCTGTTTTTCTCCCTTTTTATCTGGGACCATTTAATGGTCTCTGGTCAGAACAATTGATAGTGGTAGCTGGGCATGATCTAGTTCTTCTGGTCTCAGGATAGATGAGGCCGTGTTTCGTGTACAGTATTAGTCCTGTAGTGTAGTTTCTTCTTTGAGTCTTTGGTTTCTTTCTTTCTCTTTTGCTCCAAATGAGTTGTATCTTAGATGGCCACTTGCAAGCTTTTAAGACTCCAGACGCTACTCACCAGACTAGGGTGCAGAACATAAACTTTATGAACTATGTTATGCCAACTGACTGAGTTGTCCCATGAGACTATGGTCCTAAGCCCTCAAACCCAGTAAACCAATCCCACAAGGTGTTTGGTTATGTCTGGGAAGTATCTGTAACTGTAACTCTGCCCCCGTGTGCTTTATTGTATATATGAATATATATGCAGCACAGACAAACGTGTATACACCTATACGTGTACAAGTATGTACACACATATGCCTTCCTATACATATATGTGTGCATACATATCTACCTATGTAACCACACATGTATTTTTTGGTTGATATTACTGTTGTTGCAAAATTGTATATGTTATAGCATTTACCAGTAACATCCCTTATCCTTTTGTACTTCTTAGCGTCATCATTTGCCTTGGTCAAGTTGTACAGACTTTGCCTGCATTTGGTATTGCCTTTCCTATCACCAAAAATAACACGTGTCTACTATCTAGAAAGTGATTCCCCGTCTTCTCCCTTCCTTCCTGGTAACCACCAAAGAATGTGGTTTTCTATATATATACCTAATTTTTCTTTTTATAAACGTGAGATCATACAATACTTGTCCTTTTGTGATTGACTTATTTCACTCATAATGCCCTTCAGATTCATCCATGTTATATTTTTCAAACACGTCATTATTCTTTACAGCTGCATAGTATTCCATTGTTTGTATGTACCACAATTTATTTATTCATTCATCCACTGATGGGCACTTAGCTTGTTTGTTATGTACTTTTGAGTCTCAAGTCTAGAAAGAAGATTTATTTTTCCTCTATAAATAAATGTAAATGAGTAAGGAAAAATACTTTATCCAAATGTGGAGTTCATTGAAATGCAGCCACCACAACAAGCTTTACAAATCATCTGAAATAATTTCACACGTTTGGCTTATGAGAAAGTTCCTCAAAAGTAAAAGTTTATTTATACATTTCATTTAGGCATTTTATCATATCAAATGGCTTTGTGTAGAATTGTGTTGGCAGTGTCCTAATAAAATTTGCTCTTTGAAAAAAATGAACAACTAACGTACACAACTTAAACAACTTACTTGGTTTCTCAATCTTTAGAAGATAAAAAGAAAGACTGAAGTTGCTGAAAGCAGGCACACTGAGAGCAGTTAGGTTGAACAGGTGATAGCTTGAGAGTGAGGAAAATAACCAAAAACCATAAGAAGTAAGCATAAATATTAAAAAATCATGGCAGTTGGTGGTTATTTATTGTAGGCTGGTAGCACGGTGGTTAAATGCTCAGCTGCTAACTGAAAGATCGACAGTTCAAATTCACCAGCCATTCCATAGGAGAAAGGTGTGCCAGTCTGGCTTCCATAAAGATTGCAACCTAGGAAACCCTGTGGGGCAGTTCTGCTCTGTGTTATAGGGTCGCTATGAGTTGGAATCGACTCAATGGCAATGGGCTTGGTTTGGTTTGAGAAATTGACACAAAATTGATGTTTACTTTATTAAAATTCAATATACTTAATAGTATATGAAACCAAACCCCTTGCTGTCAAGTCAGTTCTGACTTAGACTTTGTTTGTATGTTTACATAATACTAATAGTCTAAATATACTATATATTATAATAAAATTCAATATGTAAGTATTTTAATTTAATAACTAAAATATAAGTATAAAAATAATATAAAATATAGTACATAAAATATGTTATCTGTATAAAATGTATAGCATAATAAAAAACCCAAAAAACCCAAGCCCACTGCTGTTGAGTTGATTCTGACTAATGGCGACCCTACGGGACAGAGTAGAACTGTCTCGTAGGTTTCCAAGACTGTAAATCTTTACAGAAGCAGACTGCTACATCTTTCTCCCAAGGAGTGGCTGATGGGTTCGAACTGATAACCTTTTAATAAAGTATATATAAGATATAAAAGTATAGTATATAAAAAATGTAATTAAAATATTATTGTTGTTAACTGCCCTTGAGTTGATTCTGAATCATGACAACCCTGTCTGTGCAGAGTAGAACTGCTCCATAGGGTTTTCCAAGGCTGTGAGCTTTTGGAAGCAAATTGCCAGACCTGCCTTCCAAGGTGCCTCTGGGTAGAAGTAAAATGTAGTTTACTTAAAAGTATAGTATACTTAATAGTCACCATAACAATTGAAAAATATATACTTTGTTCAGTTTCAGTAATGCTAAGTATGTAATATATTTTAAAATCAAATTTATTGAGGTAGAATTTACATATGCTAAAATATACCGTTAAGTTTTGATAAATGTATTACCTACGTAATCACCACCATTAACATATAGAACTTTTCCATCATTCCAAAAAAGTTTCTCATTCCCCTTTGTAGTCATTCCCCAACACCTTCCCTCCTGCCCTCAAGCAGCCACTGATCTACTTTCTGACATTAAAGATTAGTTTTGCCTTTTCTAGAATTTCATATGAACAGAATCATACAATATGTACCCTTTTGTATCCGCCTTCTTTTTCTCAGCATAATAGTTTTGAGATTCATCCATGTTGTTGTGTTTATTAGTAGCTTTCCTTTTTTATTGTTGGATAACATTACATTGTTTGGATATACCACAATTTGTATATGCATTCACCTGTTGTTGAATTTTTGGGTTGTTTCAAGGTTTTAACTATTATGAATAAAGCTGCTATGAACATTTGTGTACATTTTTCTTGGCTTAAGTATCAGGGAATGGAATTGCTCCGTATGTTTAACTTGCCAAACTCCTCCAAATGGTTGTGCCAGTTTACACTTTCACTAGCAATGTTTGATTGTTCTGGTTGCTTTAAATCTCACTGGCCCATGGTATTGTCAGTCTTTAGTTTTAACTATTCTAGTGGATGTGTAGTTGTAATATAAAGTTTAAAGTATTTGTATTCCAAGTAGCTAAAATTAAGGAGAAGTTTAGTTGGATGATGGTAAGCTTTTTGTTATCCATAAAACTTGATAATCCAGAACAACTCTTTACTAAAGATTTTGTGTAACTGACATTTCAAAACAATGTAAAATTGCACCACATACATTTCTTTACAGTACTATTGTAATTTCCAATTAACAGTAAGCAAATAGTTCCAACTCTTTAGTAGAACATCAGATATTTTGACATATCTTTTGTTTTCAAATAATATAATACCCAGATTTTACCTACAAAACTTACATATTTAGAAGGTGGTATACATTTTTAGGGGAAAAAAAAGACTATTTTAATGATAAAGATGGTTATCACTCATTGAGGCACTATCCTAAGTGTTTTACATGCATAATCTCATTTAATTCTTACAAAAGGAAATACGTATTATTTCCATTTCACAGAGAAGGTCATAAGGCACAGAGAGATGTGAATTCCACAGGGTTAACAAATACTTGAATGAATAAATTGATAAAAGAATAAATGAATTAGAGCAAAAGAAGGATAATTGAATAAGAAAGTGGGCCATTTTTAAAAATTATAGGCTTTAGACTCTGAAATCTTTTGACTTTGATGACACTGGGTTATTGAAAAATAAAACTATTTACGTCAAAGAACTGACTGGCCTCTACATTTTCTATAGTAAGTTGTAATTTAACTTTTAGATCATTTTAGTAATTTTTTTCCTTATAATATAACATTTGAGTGTTTGTTATTTGTGTGGGAATAAAATACTCTCAAGTATCTGCCATCATAAGGATTTAAAAACATTTATTTTGTTATGCTGAGTGTTGTGGATTGAATTGTGTCCCCCCAAAATATGTGCTGTGAATCCTAAATCCTATACCTATGGTTATAATCCCATTTGAGAGTGGGTTTTCTCTGTTATATTAATGAGGCAGTATCAGTGTAGGTGTGTTTTAAGCCAGTTGCCTTTGAGATATAAACAGAGCAGATTAGGACAGAGAAGTAAGCGCGCATGGAGATCACTAAGGAATTGAGGAACAGAGTTGAGAAGAGACAAGGACCTTCCGCCAGAGCAGATGGAGAAGGAAAACCTTCCACTAGAGCCGGCAACCTGAGTTGGGACTTCTAGTCTTCTAAACTGTGAGGAAATAAATTTCTGTTTGTTAAAGCCACCCATTTGTGTTATTTGGGTTATAACAGTACTAGATAAGTAAGACACTGAGTAAGGAAAAAAGTCACATGTAATACAATTTTAACACGATATCTAATAATGAAATTTTTGAACTTTTTTTTTCTTCCCAGGAAGGTTATATTCAAAAGAAAAAAGAACTGTGGGGAGTCTGTATCTTCATTGCAGCAGTTGACCTAGATGAAATGCCATTCACTTTCACTGAGCTACAGAAAAACATAGAAACCAGGTAAAATTTCTTATAAAGTGTAGGCCTCTACTACTAAACTGTTGCTTGACTTTCCTCTTAATAGACTTTAGGGAATTAGTGAGAAATGCTAAACTCAAATAAAACATAAAGGACTTGGGACATAGTAAATGTACTGTCATTCTCTCATGGAGCCTTTAATGAAAGTGCATTCATGCTTTGCTTGCTTAAAAATGTAGCAGTTTTTGTCTTGGGAAATTTTTCATCCTGCCTCTCAATATTTATCTATAGACTTTCTTAATTGTAACAGTTGCTAAAGTAGATCAAAAAGCAACGATTTTTCAAAGGTAGTCTATTATATATTAAAACCTTTATAAATGTAGTTTGAGTCTATCTTAAAGAAATTTAGATAAGGTTTATTAATCTTAAGATTGCTTTAATAAATAGTATAATTACATACTTTCTGAGACTATATTCAGTTGTGCATCCAATACAATAATATTTGACCCAATAATTACTTAATTAATGTTCTTGAGCTTATAAACCTTCTAAGAAGAGTTTACTATTTTTTACCAATAATTCATGAACTTTATCTTGAGCAGTCTTCTGAACTTCTAGACTTTTCATTTGCAGCATGTCAATGAAGTACAACAGTAAATAATTTTATCAAATAGGCAGTTGTATATGTTTCTTCATGAATAAAGCCATCTAGAAATAAGCATAAGTGATGTTTTATTTAAGTGAGATAAATTATTGCATTTTTATAATTTTTTCCTTACAACTTCTAAATAAAATGTAGAAACAAAGACCTTGTATACTCATATTTAACCTATTGAAATAGAATTGGTTCGCCTCTCAGAGATTTCTTAGTTTAAATTTATTAAATAAAATAACTAAGTCCAAATAGTTTTATTTTGATTTAACAGAAAAAAAATCTGAATATATAAGTAAATTTCTCCATTAATTTATTCATTCCCTCAGTAAACTTTCCAGTGGCCTAAAGGATAAATCTAAAAGAATATAGATTTGGGGGTTAAGATAGACTTTGGGTTTAAATCTGGGGTCTATCGTTTTACAAGCTGTGTAATTTGGGGCAGATTGCTTAACCAGGTTAAGTCTCAGTTTCTTCATCTGTGAAATGGAGATTATAGCTACTACATAGAATTGTGCAAATTAGATCATTTATAATGGATAGAGAATTAGATCGTTCACAAAGTCAGCATCTGTACCACCATTGACGCTAACCAGATAATAATCTCTTTCCTTCTGTAGCCTCATTCCCCACCCCCCCAAAACAAAACAAAACAAAAATAAGAAAGTATGAAAGAAGGAAAGGAAAGGAAGGAAGGAAGGGAGGGAGGGAAAGAAAATTTAAACATCTGTCAGATGCTATATTACTGTGCTGGATTCTAAGGATATAGAGGTATGAAACAGTCTGACTTCAAGACTCTCAGTCCAGTAGGAGAGATAAAATTAAACAGATGACTGCAATATAGTCTTATATAGCTGTACATAGGCTGTAAAATAGACATGACAGAGATATTTTTATTAACTCAGGCTATTACATCTTTTATCTATAAGATGAAAGAATATTCCTGGCAGAGCTTTTGCTAAACTTTTCCCTTGAGTATTGGTAGAGCAACACTGGTTTACATACTGGACATGTCATAATCTCCCTGTGATAAATAACAGTAATGTATTTGGTACAGTTTTTTCTTAGAGCATCTCTCCTTACTCTGATAACTATCCAGGAATATTATCTAGGCCACTGCTTCTCAGACCTGCTGTGGTGAAGGATCAAGCTTTTATTTCCACATTCCATGGACCAGTATTTAAAAACAACAACAAATGAATTACTGGAAAAATGAAATAAAAAAAGGGCATACTAAGCACAAGCCCCAATTTTCTGAATTAGATTCAGCAAGTATAAAATTACTGTCAAATTGCTATAAAAGTTTCTGAATACTTACTCTCAATTTCTATACTTATTTATTGTGGACTGGTAACAAACAGTTCACAGACTAGTGTCAGTCCATGGAGAACACTTTAATAAACAGCATTGTTCTAGACTGTGGTTTTGATTATGGCTCTTTTAGATTATGGTTTTTCTTCTCTCCTTTCTTTACTCCATCCTTCCTTTTTGTGGGGGGAAGTGTCAGAGGAGAGGAGCTACAGAAGGAACAGAAACTTACTTAAGTTACCTCTAGAAAAAGAAGGCTTTCTTGTAACAATTCAGAGTTTTTCTTGTAAGAGTTCAGAGCTCTAAGGACAGGTATTGCTATCTGTACACCTTATATAAACTCAAACTGAGAATGACTCTTGAATAAATGCTATTGTAAGATTTCTTTTTCTCTGTCCATAACTCCACATTTGCTTCATTCTCTTCTCTTCTAATCAGCATCCTCTGTATCATCTCAATTTCTTTATTTACTTTTCTACATAGCATGTCATGGCTCCCCCAATCTCTTCTATATCATGGGAACTTTTTAATAACCTTCTTTTTAGGTTCTGTGCCCCTGCTGGTTAGCTGAACTTTTTATTTTCCCAGTTCTTGAGATAAGTGTCTGATTGGTCCAGCTCATCTTTTTGAATGAGGGCTATAACTCACTGGTTGCTGGACAGCCTTTGATGGGTCTGGTAACTACCCTATGGTTCGGTTAAAACCCTTTGTTGACCAATTATTTTCTCCTTTGAATTTTTTGTTGATACCTTGTGTTTTCACTAATGGAAGGCATGCTGATTAAACAACAATTCACAATTTTTGTTATGATTTATGAATTTTGATACCTATTATCTGGGATCACTTATGTCCCAGTGGACACTGGACATGGTAAATCCTACTGATATGAGTCAATGATAAAATTGTTTATTTTATTTCTTGAAAATTTGCAAAACATGAGGTAAAACATGAAGACACCTGGCAATGACTGCACATACATTTTATTCTAGGCTCCTTATTAGTCTTTTATTCTTTTTCATGAAACTTTTCAAAACATGGTCTGATGCATTCTTCCCTACTACAAAAGCAGTACTTACAGTCCAAGTAAATAAAACCAAGGGGTTTTTTATCTCAGGAAAATTACCACTACAATACATTCGTCATTATAACAAAAGCAGTACTAACAGCGAAGAAGCAGGAACAGCTGTCCGGGAATATTGCAGACCTGCTCACAGTGTTGCATTCCACCTGCTACATGTGGAAGCAGTGATTGGGCTGTAAGATTAAATGTGGGGTAAGAATAACTTATAGGAGCTCAAGTCTATTGAAATGTATCACTGCAGGACATTGTTCCTTATTGCAAAGGCATTCCGTACCGTTCAGAAGCTAGAAAAGCAGCCTTGAAAGATTGCAGAGCCAAGACTGAAAGCAGAGCAGGGAGCCAGTAATGCCTGGAAACAGAGAATGGCGTCAGGGAGAAAATGGCCACTATGACTGAATGAAGACTAAACCAAACCAAGCCAAACCCACTGCTGTCGAGTCTATTCTGACTCATAGGGACCCTATAGGGCAGAGTAGAACTGCCTCGTAGGGTTTCCAAGGACCGCTTGGTGGATTCAAACTGCCGACCTTTTTGGTTAGCAGCTGTAGCTCTGAACAACTATGCCACCAGGGTTTCCGAATGAAGACTAGGAATAGCTTATTCTCGCAATAAGTACCTTCTCACAAGAGCATAGTAACTGGGAAACATAGTGAGGAGGCTTATCTCACAGAAATAAAGGCAAACCTGTCAGAAGTTTACAAAATTCACACACCAGAGACATCACCTAACAGAATGCTCATTCTACACAATAATGAGGCTCCCACTCAGGGATCTTGAGTTTCACACATTTCAAAAGACTCCCATCTTGAGGCTAAACACATTAAAATCGGACTACTGTCTTCACAAAGAACTCCAGAGGTATAAAAAGTGGTTAGGATACTGTATGTCCCATGAGTCACCAAAGGGTTAACTGCTGGTATAATTCCTTAGACAGACTTGATAAGAGGTGAGTGTGTGAGGTGCAGTTGATGATTGTTATCTTTAGTGCCCTATTTTTGAGTGGTAAAAGTGTACGTATTGATGTTCAGATAGGTTAATTTTTATAGAAAACTTAATAAACGATGATTTAAAGTTAAATACTTAAATAACTTAAAGATTTTAATCAGCCTTCCTCTTCCTCTCCCCCAAAATTCAGTTTCAAAACCAATGATGGGGCACAGAAAGTAGGTATCTGTGAGTGGGGATAGACACGGGGCCCAGAGAAGGATGTCAGAGCCAAAATGTAGTGAGGAGGGTATCCACATGATGAGGCGGCGGGGGTGGGGAG